CTCTCTCTCTCTCTCTCTCTCTCTCTCTCACACACACACACACACACACACACACACACACACACACACACACTCTCTCTCTCTCTTTTATATATATATATATATATAAAATGTTTGTTTGTTAATGTGTTCAACCATTTTGGGGAAAAAAGACATGATCAGCACATTAATTTGTTTTGTTTTAATTCGAAGCCAGTTACATAGAAGAATTGATAAGACATGCACAATACTGTCCTTTAGAAACCACTTGACCAGATGACTGAATTTGTGAAGTAACTAAGCAGTTTTGCTTAATCCTATTTCACTAAATTCTGTTTGTCAAGTTTAGATTTTATAGGCAGAGAACTGTGGCAAAAATAAAACTGGGTAAAATGAAATCACTTAACAAGCTGTGGGCATCTAGCAAGATCATGCAGTGACAAACCTTAGTGCTGGCCTGACTGAGGACATCCAGCAATGCTGCCAGTTTAATACACATCTTTAATGGAGATGCTGAGCCCCAGATCATGTTAGGGAGGGAGGAGTCACATTTAATTTACTACATTAAGTAGGCAAAGAATTCCCAGTTTTTGCAACTGTGTGTTGGTGATCATGAGTCCTATGGTACAATGCTCATGAGATTTTATCCAACATAATACAATAATTATGATATTTATTAAAGAGCTGCAATGAATGGAAGACATTTCTCTCTTTAAAGGTTCAGCATAGATGAAGGTCAGACATGGAGTACACATAATTTCACCAGTACGTCAGTCTTCGTAGATGGGCTACTCAGTGAACCTGGAGACGAGACATTAGTCATGACGTAAGTTTCTGTTTATTTAGGCTACCCTTCAGCAATGCACTTAATCATGAGCTTAACTTTAAACAGGTGAGTAGTCCCCGCATCTGGGGCTTCAGTGTCTTGCAATCATGTGGGCTTTCACCATGACCAGGTCTGAACAGCACTAACAAGCAGCCTGTCCTTAAAATGATCCAAATCAAATATTTCAAACGTAAATATGAAGCATTGTGTTTTATATTCTGTTTTTAAAGTCATGACCTGAAACAGTGGAAAATTATGGGCATAAATGGATATCTGAAAACTGTTCTTTCATATTATTTCCCCCCTGTTTTCTGCAGACTCTAAGGTGTTATTCAATAATAATAGGTTTCTTGCTTTTTCTGTTATAGAAATTGTCTTCACAGTATAAACCAATATGCTGTTGTCCTAGTAACCTAGCATTGTAATAAATTATGTGTAACCAAACATCCTGTAAAAAAATACACATTCTCCCCACTTCTCTGTAGTTTTTGTGATGGATCCTATTAATAGAATTTAAAATAAATATGGGCCTGAGCCACGAAGTTTGGTTTTGTATATGCACTTTCCCACTATGGTCCCAAATTCTAATATTATTAAACCATCTGAGCCTACGAAACAGCTACCCAATCAGTGCCTCTGTCCTTGTGTTGATTGGAGGAATAGGTGGGGAAAGGAAACTTAAACCCCATTTACACATATTTGGGAGCGGTTTTGGGACTGGCACAGCCCCAAACACTTAAGGGCCCTGAAATGTAGAGATTGGCCTGAATACACTGTGTTCCCGACATACGTCCGATGCCAAGGGCTGGAAATGGAGCTGCTGCATTGCTGTGTCAGCAGCTCTTCACTGACAGGTGAGCCCATCGACACACCAGCTACTTCCTGGAGCTGTTTCCACCCCCTTTAACATCCCTTCTCACCACCAGAGTGGCATAAAGGGACAGCAGCACAGAAGCAAATCGGACCCACTGTAATTGGAGCAGATTCACCCTGTTGAAAGTGTCAGAGATGAATTTGGCCTGTTGTCATCTCACTTTCTTTCTGCCCCCAAAAGCAACTCTTATGATTTCTTGTTGTACTTTCTGGTCTGGAAGGAAATTGAAGCGTTCTATGTTAAATCTTCCTGGGATTTTTCTCCTTTCCCAACTTTTCTTCCTTCTGTCAATGGTGAAGGATGAGATCATGGCTTCTTGTCTTGTTAACTGCTGCTACCAAGCTGTGTACAAACCACTGGGCCTGTCAGAGCGATGTTGAGGGAGTTACTATGCCTGCCTTACTCTTGGAAATTTTGAAAGTGCCCAGTCTCTTAGAAATCTACATAGGAGAAGACTCACTCCCCATCTAAATTTGGGTCTCCCACTTAGCCATCTCCTACAACTGCCTGTTGCTGCTATGGTGAGCTATTTTTGCATCTGTAAAAAGCAACAGAGGGTCCTGTGGCACCTTTAAGCCTAACAGAAGTATTGGAGCATAAGCTTTTGTGGGTGAATGCCCACTTGCATCTGATGAAGTGGGCATTCACCCACAAAAGC